GAGTTTTCTTATTCTCTTAATGTAATTTGGTGGTTTGTGTATTTGTTTGTGTTTTATTGCATTCACTAAATTGCAGTCACAATTGCATAATTGTACACATAAAAGTAATGCAAAACTGGCTGCATAATTGTTTCAAAAAGAGACAACTAAAATATCAAACTAATGCAGTCACAACTGCATAATTGTTTCAAAAACAAACATAGATCAAACTATGCAGTCACAATTGCAACATAATTGTTTAAAAAACAAACAGATCAAACTAATGCAGTCACAGCTGCATAATTGTTCCAAAAACAGCTAAAATATCAAACTAAAGCAGTCTCCATATCAAACTTCAGCAGCATTGGACCTTGTTCTCATTCTTTTGTTTTCTCTCATCTCTTGAAGACCTTGTTGAGTTACAACAGCCTTTCCTTTCCATTTTAAGCCTGATCTTGGTTTATGATGCCCAAGATTTCCAGTCACTACTGAAGAGTTCATAGGCATTCCAGGCTAGATTCACAAAAATATGTTGTCTTAGATGCTTCATAAGTTAAAATTAAAAAGTGTGTAAATAATTAAGACAACTTACATTGTGGATTGTAAAACCACTCTGTGTATGTAGTATCCCCATTCCAACCATTCTTGGCCTCTTCCCTCTTCCAGTAGCACCAGGAACATCAGTAGCAGTAGCAACTACACTAGTTCTTCTTCCCCTTCCAGCTAAACCAGTTCCAGTTCCTCTTCCCCTTCCAGTGGCACCAGAACTATCAGCAGCAACACCAATCCCTGTTCCATTACCAGTTGCAGTTCCTCTTCCCCTTCCAGTAGCACTAGCCTATAACATAAGTTGATCAACAAAAATATTAGACTGATTAAGATGTAAATTAACAACTAAATGAATTACTATAAACATTACCTGTTTTGTAGAACCTCTTGGTCGACCTCTTCCTCTCTTTGTGCTTGATTGTGATTCAGTTGGTGCTCTAGAAGAACCAACACTTGACCTTGTTGAACTAGGCTCACATCCTTTCCCCATTCCTCTTCCTCTGCCTGCATTAGCTTGATTATTCAAATGACAACCCCTCTTATTATGACCCTTTGCATGACAAAGACTGCAGGTCATCTCAACACCTCTCTTGGACAATTTTCCTGTTTTGTTTTCATTCTGCTCCTTTCTCCTACACTTTCTAGGCCTTCCTGGTAGTGTTTTTATAACAGGTGGAATAACAGAAGGGTTGGCCGACTGTGGCCACATTTTCATGTTAGTAACTGGTTGAATGTAGTGACTATAGACCTTGAGATAAGTCTCCTTGCTATACCAATGTGCAACATAGTTAATGGGCTCCAATTTTCTAAAATGAAGTGCAGCTATAACATGACAACAAGGTATACCTCTTAGCATCCAAGATCTACAAGTACATGTTTGATTGCCTAGATTCACAACAAATGTGTTATCCCAGCTGTCTTTAACCTCAAAACCATATTCACCATTCCATTCAAGGTTACACTTCATTGACTTTGTTGTGTTCTCTGTCAATACCTTTAGGGCCATTGGAGATATGTTTGTTATCCAAGTATCACAGAACTCCCTCAATTGTCCTATTCTTCTCATCACTTTGATCCTTATTTCTTCAAGCATTGTGATGATAGTTTTGTGTCTTGGCCCCAAAAATCCATGAATTAAAGCTTTCAGCCATGTTGTTGTCAACACTATCACAACAGCTAAAAAACTTAAAGTATAATTTAGACCACCTCTCTATATTGTACCACAATAAGTCATCACATATTCCAGTGCCTAACTTCTCCATATGATCCAAATTTCTTTTCAATTCTTGTTCATATGTAGATTTGGCACATCTCCAAAAACAATTTCTTCTTTCAATGCCTTTCCAATTCTTAGACCAGTTGGCTAGAACATGTCTTGCACACATTCTTTGTTCTGCATTTGGCAGAAGATCTTGAATAGCTTTGTCAAGACCCTTTAAACAACAACATTTAGAATAACATGAGATCTAACTTAATGAATAAATTAAAAAGAAAATAAATGAATAAATAAAAAAGAAAACAAAAATACCTTCTGCATATCAGTTATGGTTGTCAATTTTGTTCCATCTCCTAGCTCAAGATCATGTCTTACAAGCTTGATAAACCATTTCCAAGTGAATGTGTTTTCAACCTCAACAACTGCCCATGCTAGTGGTAGCATTTGGTTGTTCCCATCCTTACAAACAACCACAAGTAATTGACCTCTAGAAACACCTTTCAAGAAGCAACCATCAAATCCTATACATCTTCTAGCTCCAGCTTTGAATGCCTTCTTTAAAGCATCAAAGCATATGTAAAATGATTGAAACATTTTTCTGTCACCTTCAAAAGTTTCTTCACTAAGTCTCACCACACATGTGCTGCCTGGATTAGTCTTTAAGAGCTCATCTCTATAATCTAAAATTCTTTTAAACTCCTCCACATGATCACCCATAATTTGTTTCAACACAATGTTTCTAGCTTTCCTTGCTACAGTCCTCCCTACATACACATTCAACTCTTTCTTCACTAAAATTTGAAACTGAAAAACTCTAATGCCAGGCTCAGAAATAATTCTGTCCTTGTACCTTTCTGATAAGTACTTTGAATTCACCAATTTATTTTTGGTTGTGCCATTGCATTTATGTACTGGATTATAATTCTTCACCACAAAATCTCCTGTTCTTGAATCAATACTTCCAAACAACAACCATGGACAACCAGCTGTACACTTTACCCTCACTCTAGTTGCATCATTAACATATTTATCTAATTCAACATGTTCTTGAACTGCATATCTAGTAATAGCTTCTCTAAATTGCTTAACACTTTCAAAAGCAAGACTAGTCTCCCAAACTATTAATTGACAGGTAGGATCAAATACAACTTTCTTTTTATTTCTTTTTGCTCTTCTTGCTTTTCTTTGTCTTCTTATAGGTTGTTCAACCTCATCTTCCTCATTAACATCTTCATCAGTATCTATTTCAAAACTAACAGCTTCATCTGAATCAAAGTAGGGCTCATCTCCAGCTATCTTACCCTCAAAAGTAGTTTGTTTCTTGGATAAATATTCATCATATCCCAAATCAACTCCTTTTTTTCCTAAATCAACTCCTTCAGATCTAGGGCCCTTTTCTTTTCTCTTTTTTATTTTAGCTGCCCTTTTCTCTTTCCTAAGATTTATAACCTCTTCATGAACATCACTACCATACTCATCTTCTCCTTCATCAGACAAATCTGCATTGTCTGAATCATCACTTGCTTCTGTTTCACTTTCCCAATCAGACCCAACTTCTGGAATATCAGATGCAGCAGCAGCAGCAGAAGAAGTACCACCCAAGTCTTCTCCAACACTAACAAAATCCCTACCCAAGTCCTTTCCAACACCAGCAGAAGCCCTACCCAAGTCCTCTCCAACACTAGCAGAAGTCCTACCCAACTCTTCACCCACAATAGGTTCTTCAGGTTGTGCAGCCTCTTCAAATCCTAAACCTTTACTACTCTCAAAAGTTTGACTAGATTCCTTATCAAAAGTAGTACTAGATTCCCCACCCACATCATTTAGATATCCAATTTCGGGGGGGGGGGGGGGGGGCACAACAACTTCTTCAACTAAATGAGTTATATCTCCATTTTTTAATTTATGTACAATACCCATAATATCCCTATCACTTTTAACTTCAACAACTCGTCGACATTTAGGTGGTTTAATATAAACAACACAAGCAGAACAGTTATAGCCAATTTCTTTAACTATATCAACAAATTCAAAGTAGGACAATTTATCAACATCTACATCAAAACAATCAGTGACAATACCTCCTTCATACTTAATACGAGGTTTTTGTTGTAGTTTTCCACCATGGTGAAACCTTAAGGTAACGTACACATCCATCGTCAAACTGAAAAGATAAAAAAAAACTAAGCTTTACGAAAACCCTAAACTCGGTCAAATATTACAATCATCTAAACGAAGATTACTAACCTGGTAACTTTGTTTCTTCACGCAAATCCTTTGTTTCTTCACGAAAATCCTAAACTTAGCAAATCCTTCACGCTAATGACTTGTTATTCTTCAGATTAGGTCTTTAGATTTGAGAGAGATTTAGGGATATTTGTTTAAAAATAGGTTGGGTTGTATTTTGGGAACGGGTGGGTTATATAAAACGGGTAAGATATTTTTAAAATCCTTTGCGATGTGGACCAATGAAAACACGCGTGGGTAACAATGCCCAGCCTTCAACTGGGTTGGTGTTCGGAGGGTTGAAAATAATTCACATAAAAGATGTTAAGGGGGGTATATAAACACCCGTGTAGTTTAAGTACTAAAGTAAGTTTTCGTGCCAAGTTCAGGGGGGTTTTTATGTATTTTCCCTTTCAGAATTATAATTTTGCGATCATAATTTTTGAACAAATTGATAAGATGAAGTGCTTAAAAAATAAGTTTGAATTAGATTATATTACATTTGATTGAATATATGAATTTATACCAAACGATCCTTAAATACTCAGTGTAATATTTTTCAAGCACACATCAATATTATATTTTTCATGTTATATCCATTATAACTATTTCTTTTCTTTCAAAATAAGGGTCATCTTAGTAAAATTTATATTTATTAAAAATAATAATAAATATAATATATAGTTATTAAATTACTCCTAATTAAAAAATATCTTTTTAAAAAAATTAAATAATATTAAAAAGATGAAATATAAAGATATAGCTGAGAAAATATATTAATTTTGTTTTTCAATTTTTAAGATAATATTTATTTTGAGATAATATTTTTGCGGATAAAATAATACTTATTTTGTGACGGAGGAAGTATGATTACACTCTAATTTTTAAGTATTTTTGTTGTATTAAAAAACATATGCTATAATTAGACTTATACTCAAATTGGTTAATTAAATTTTCCTACAAATATTCCAAGTCCTTTCACTTTTTTCCCATCTCCTCAAATTCTACTCAACCAAATCCTCCTCTTCCTCCGTCGTGAACTGCCACCATGATGGCAAAAAACGCCACCCTTTCCGGCGGAGTACTGAAAAAAGTAATTCTTTCGTATACTTACTTAGCAATCTGGATTGTCCTCTCCGGCACTGTCATTGTATACAACAAATACATTCTTGATAAAAAGCTTTACGATTGGCCTTTTCCAATTTCTCTAACAATGATTCACATGGGTTTTTGTTCTTCTTTAGCTTTCTTCCTCGTACGTATCCTCAAATTCGTCGAACTTTTCACCTTATCCCGCAGAGTATATTTCACTTGCGTTTTACCCATTGGTGCCCTTTACTCTCTTTCACTCTGGCTATCAAATTCTGCTTATATTTACCTCTCTGTTTCCTTCATTCAAATGCTTAAAGCCCTAATGCCAGTTGCTGTTTACACAATTGGGATTTTGTTGAAAAAAGAGAGTTTTAAGAAATCCACCATGTGTAATATGTTGGCAATTTCAATTGGGGTTGCTATTGCTGCTTATGGTGAATCAAAGTTTGATTCTTTTGGGGTTTCACTTCAATTACTCTCTGTTTTAGTTGAAGCAACTAGATTGGTCTTGATTCAAATTTTGTTGAATTCAAAGGGAATTAAGTTAAACCCTATTGCTACATTATACTATGTTGCTCCAAGTTGCTTTGTTTTCTTGTCAATTCCATGGGTTTTTGTTGAACTTCCAGTTTTTAAAGAAAGGGGTTTTGGTTTAGATTTTGATTTTATGGTTTTTGGTACTAATTGTTTGTGTGCATTTGCATTAAACTTAGCTGTGTTCTTGGTTGTTGGAAATACTTCAGCTTTAACAATGAATATTGGTGGGGTTGTTAAAGATTGGCTGCTTATAGCATTTTCTTGGTCTGTGATTAAGGATAGTGTGACTCCATTGAATTTGGTTGGATATGGGTTAGCATTCTTGGGAGTTGCTTATTATAATCATCAGAAATTGCAGACATTGAAGGCAAAAGAAGCAGAAAAGAAGTGTCAGCTTCAGCAGGATGATGAAGAAGAAGGTGGAGGACTATTGTTGACTGAAAGAGAACAGAATGGTACAGGGGAGAAGGGTGATTCACAGTACTAAGTTTTTTTTTTGTAAATTTATTTATTTTATTTTAAGTTGTATTTTGAAGAAAATAGAAATATTGACAAAAGGGTATGATGAAGTAATTAAATTTTATATATTAGTTTTAAATTAAAGTGGATTATATCTAAAGAAAGATCTTATCTTTGACTGCAAATTAAATTCATATTTTATAGTTAAAGAGTTAATATTATACCAAGTTCTTCTTCATCAAGGAGTTGTGAAGGTAATAAATTAATTAAATTTAGTAGTAATTGACAAATTGACAAACGTACACATAATTATATTTAGTAGTAATTGATAAATTGATAAACGTACACATAATTATATTTAGTAGTAATTCATAAATTGATAAACGTTACGCTGCGTATCATTCGATTCTGTTTTGAAGTTTATCGATTTGGCTTATTGATTATCGGTTTGTAGAGATGCTAAACCGATATAGAACCATTAAGATATTGGCTTATTGATTATTGGTTTATCAGTTTTTGATCGTTATCGGTTATCGGTTTAACCGTTAAGATTTGACACAAAAAAAACATTGAAAATCACTTTAAAACAAGGTGACGAACCAAATAAACCATGCACATGAGTTCACAAGTTATATCTTGCTAAAAAACAAACACTTTTACATTCTAGAATAACCAAGTGTTTGAGACATCCAAAAATAAAAGTAGGAAACCAACTCTAAGTCAAAGACTTTATATACAAAATGGTATAAATATAATTATTTAATTTACTATCGGATTATCGGTTAACCCGTTAAGAAAAAACTTCAAACCGTTATCAAAACCGCTAAACCAATAACCCAATATTGATAAACTAATAACTTTTTTTCGATTTAGGTTATCAGTGTCGGTTCGATTTTGAACAACCTTACACATCATACTGTTATTTTGTTAGTCTATGTATGCGTTTAAATTTAACCAAAATTTTAATAATTAAACATAAAAGTCAACATAAAGCTGAAAAACTAATAAACTTGCGTTTAATATTTATAATTATCGATAATATACCATAGCTTCGAAGAAATATAAGAGATTAATATATCTTGACATTTGAATATGAAAGAAGAAATAAATTGACGCATTTCAATAACGGTTAGCTAATAAATTTAGCATTATTTATAATTAGAGTACATAAAAGTAGATGCACTATATAGTTTTATTAAACATCCCATAAGAGAAGCACAAATATTCTTTGACATTTTTTTTAAAAAGAAAGTCTTCTATAATCTTTTTTAAAAATGTATTAAAATTATAACATGATATTTGATACCGTTTTCTTTAATCAATAGCAAATCAAACCAATTTGCATAACGACGAGGGCAATACTGATCCCAACTATTAACATGGGGCAAAATTGTGCGTAAGGGCAATTTTGACTTTTGTCCGTTTTAATATTTTTTTCGGTATTTGAATTTCAAAAATTCATAAATAATTCTCTGCTGCTCCGTTAAAATTTTGAGTAAATTCGCCATAAGTTCATGGGAATCCGACTGATAACACACTTTAATGCAATTGAAGTGATGATTCTTGCAATAAAAGTTGTAATTTTGTAAGCCCTAAAATGTTGCCAACTTTTAGATAAACATACAACTTTTATTCCAATATTTACTACCTTAGTCACGAGTATTATTTATGAACTATTTATGTATTTTGAATTCTAGTTCATTTTATGATTCTTGTGGGTGTTTGGAACATGATTTTTCAAGAGTTAAAAGACATTTCAGCGTGACATTGATGGATTGTTTACTCTATGTCTTGTTTTCGTGTATCTGATTAAGCAAGCCTTGCGCGCTAGCTTTCACCCAAATAAAAAAAGTGAATGCTTCACGTGAAAGATCATTTTACTAGGTACGATAAGGTAGAAAAGCTAGAGTGTAGTAGCTGCGCGAAAACTGTTTTACTTTTAAGTCATTTGTCTTCTTGTTCATTATTATTTTCATGTATGGATGAATCTAATGATTAGTGGAAGTTGTAATACATTAGTGTTTAAAGAAAATTATATTTCGCTAGGAACTTCCGCCCTTTTGCTCCCTTGTAACTCGAGCGGACAACTTTAGGATTTGAGCTGAAGCAGCTTACCATTCGATCAACTCTCTCTTGTCAGCAGAGTGAATAATCAATAACCAACGGTATGCTTTTTTTTTTTAGCAAAATATATCTTTCCTTGGAGATGAAAAATTCGCGCACTAGCACAAAGCTCTGGCTATATGCAGTCTCCAATGAAGGGCCAGACCATATTTGATCCATTATATGTAATCCAAGAGGTTGTTTCCATGACTTGAACTCATGACATCTTGGTCACACGGGGACAACTCTTACAGTTGCTAAAAGGCTTCCCTTCTCAAAGCATCTTCACGCATATTCTCCAACTATTATTATGAGCACTAGTTTTGTTTGTCAATTGTAGAAGCCTCATGCATCCATCACCTTTGTTCAGTATTAATGTCATCTACCAGTCAAAGACAACCAATTGAGTATACCTGCCTTCGTGACGATGTTTAAGGAAGCCAATGATGCCATGATTACAACGTCTCCAACGAAACAATGCCTCCACAGAGAGACAAAGATACAAAAGAAACTCAGAAAATCAAGAAGACCGTCCAAAAAATGAATATCCTTTTGTAGCATCATACTTTTAGTTCCATTGTTTACGCAAGAAGACCATACATATTGGATTAGCCGTTCAGCTGACAATGCTCATGAAAAGACACTCCTGGTTGCCATGACTGATATTGGTTACAACATCATGCACATTAAGCTACCAGAAATCTTTGCATGAGCAAACCCCATCTATGAAACGGTGAAATCGGTTTCTGTCCCTGACCAATATTTCTCGCTTGTAAGTCTTCGAGATGAATTTAGTTGCAGAGTGGCAATCTTCACAGACTCGTAAGTTTTTCACTATTCGGATAGGAGTTCCAGGAGGTGTCTTCATAAGGGCAAATGCAATAGCAAGCTTTTCACTATGCCTATTTACAGCGCCTTCTTTATCTTCTTCATCGATATCAAGTAACACTTCTGATGTTGAAGCAACAAATCCAGCTTTTCTAATCTCCTTTCCAATATCATCCACCATCTGATGAATAATTTTGTACTCACTATGACTTTTATCTCCTGACACAAATTCATAGATTTCGTTGTATAGTTCAATCATAGTGCTCCCTGGAACCTTTCTCATTCCCTTCTTCGCCATAACTTCCCTAATCATGGTCTTCTTCTCCCAAGAAAACATTTTTGCATAAATGTTAGAAAGCATTACGTAATTAGAGTCATGCATAGGCTCATATTTTATCAGCTCTTTTGTTATTTTTTCACCAATCGTCAGCTCACCATGAGCACGGCAAGCATTAATAAGTGTTCTCCAAATTACTGGATTTGGCTTAATGGGCATTCTCTGAACAAAATCCAATGCTTCTTGCACATGTCCAGCTCTACATAACAGATCAACCATGCATCCGTAGTGTTCTATCTTAGGTGAAATCCCAAATTCCTTTGTCATAGAATAAAAGTAGCCCTTACCTTGTTCGACTAAAGCCGAATGGCTACAAGCAGTAAGTAACCCAATAAAGGAAACATCATCAGGTACAACCCCATCTTTCTTCATCTCCTCAAATAAAGAAACAGCCTCAGTTCCCCGGCCATGCATCGCCATACCATCTATAACTGAAGTCCAAGAAACAATATTCCTTTGACTCATGCTCCTGAACAAACTCAGAGCTTTATCAACATCACCACATTTTGCAAACATATCAATTAAAGCATTCCAAAGAACAGCACTCTTTGGAACATTCTCCCTCTGGATATATGCCTCGAGCCACTTCCCTAGCTCAAGCGCACCCAAATCTATACACGCAGACAACAAACAAACCATCGTAACTTCATCAGGTTCTACCCCAACAACCTGCATTTCTCTAAACAACCCTACAGCCTCACTAGACAAACCCCATCTCACATAACCACCTATCATCGCACTCCACCCTACTGAATCCCAGTTACGCATTTCATCAAACACCTTCCGCCCATACTCAACCCCACCATCACAACAACAATACATATGAACCATAGTATTCAAAACATGAGAATCATCATCAAACCCAAGTTTCACCACTGACCCATGAACAGTCTGGCCTAATTTCAACTCACCAATCCCAGCACAAGCCTTAAGCACAAAAGGGTAGGTAAACTTATTAGGCCAAATACCATAACTTAACATTTTGCCATACAAACACAAAGCATTATCCTTAAAACCACTAGTTACAGCGTAACTTCTGATAATGGTGTTGAAAAGAAAGGTATCAAAGTAATGGGTTTCAACATATGGGGAAAAGATGAATGATGAAGCGTGGGCAATAGCGTTAAGTTCAGAGGAAATGGAAGTGAATTTTGTGAGCACAAGGGGGTTACTTTGTAGGCCTAATTTGAAGATATGTGATTGGAGTTGAAGGAGTTTAGGCAGAGAATCGCAGAGCTGGAGGAGAGATAAGCAATTCTGCTCTGCTGCTCGGTTCTTGCTGGTGAGTGATAGTGATAGTGATGTGTGAAGTGAACGGAATAGCTTTGATTTTGAGGGTAAATGCCGCATCTTGTTGATGCCATCAATGGCGACAAACGCTAATCCATTCTACTTTCATTGTCCAAAAAATATTTCGAATCATTAGGTCTAATACTTTTCGTATAGTTTTTATATATACACGAATTTCATTCTAAGACATGTGAAGAAGCACTAATATGCACATTATTTTGTAAGAAATAAGATATGGACCTATTAGTTATGTACATATGAGTACCTAAAAAAGATGAAATTACTTTGGCTAATTTTGATTATGATATCCAAAATCTTGAGTAGGAACTTCGTACTATTATGATACAATGTGTATCTATATATTTCATTCAAAGTTAACATTATATTAATGTATTAGATTGGGAGAGAGAAAAGAAAATTGAGCAAGATTTAGGAGAGAGAAAGAGGTGATTATGTATATGCATAGTTTTAATTGAGATAAAGGTTATACCGAAATATAAGTTATTTACCTCTTTCATAATTAGGCAAAGTATTACTATTCATAATTATGATACAAAGTACTATAACTATTTATGAAGACTCCTCTTCTTCTCTTTAAGGTTTTTTTATTCGATAATAGCATTGAAATTAGACTAAATCAAAATTAAAATTTCATTAAATTTGAATTTATGCCACACACAAAAAAAGTCATTCCCAAAACTCGAACATATTAAGCGAACAATCCCATGCCACCACCAGCGGTATTGGTAATAAGATTAGTTTGCGTAGCAAACTAGCCATTTGATTAATTGAATCGAAGACACAATGCGAAGACAAAAACGACTGGACCCTTGTATGGCCACGTCTGTCACTTTCTTTCTTCTTCAACAAATTGGCGCAATTTTGTAACGAACCGAACCCCATTTTTCTCTGTTGATCCTGAACAAACAACTATCGGCAAAAGGGGTTGTGAAATGAGAAAACTTTCTGTTTTTCTTTCTATTGGATTCGCTCATAGATCCTCAAAATTCCGCAGCAGCAATAATCATCATAATGCTCTTTGTTTTTACAGCAATATTTGCTCTTCTCCCTCCAAGAATCATGGTTAGTCCCCTCATTATTGTCTCTTGCACCTTTTTAAATGTGATTGATTACATAGGAAAGGTTGCTCTTTTATGCGTTTTTCTTCTAGGAGTTCGACTGATTATCGAATTTTATCTGAGTTTCGGGGTTTTCCCCTCTGGTTTCTAGCGAAATAAGCTATGAATTCAGGTGTCTGTGTTTACAAAAGTCTTGATGATTAATAGGTTCTGATGAAAACTGGAATCAAGTGTAAAGTGTGTGATTGTAACCCCAATTATATGACTTAGACAAAGTATATGGGGGGACGATAAGATTTTCTAATTAAGAGAGTTTGTTGTGGAATTATTTACGTAGTTAAATGAATTCCATTAGTTGTTCGTCAATCTGATGTGAGTAATCTTCACTTTCTATCAAATTGAGCTAGAGCTGGGAGAAGGTAAATCCGTAAAATTTAGGGTGTAAGGGGGGAATTCACTTGCTAAATTCGTAGCCAATTGCCATTTTCTTCTCATCGAGATTAGGCTAGTTTAGTGCCACTATGTATATTCTTGAAAGTGTGACTCATCACGGCCATAGATGTGAGGCTTATCATAGATGGCGCTAGCAGAAGGCTCAATTCTTTATGTGGACAAGGCAACTTTCATGGTTGATCCCCATTGCGTCTTCCTTTTCTCTTTCCCCTCTTTATCATACCTTGCCACAGCCATAAGTGGTGAATACTTAGAACACTGTGATTGTGGGGTGCAATGCTCGAGAAAGTTGAAAAATTTTAAATTTTATTCTGCATAAGAAATAACACAATTTGGGTGTGTTTAGATCTGCTGCTTCCGTAAGCTTCTGCTCCACACTTGTTTAGTCAAAGTGTATGCAGTCAACTCTGAAATTATGTATCTGTTTAGCTGTGTCCCATTTAAATTGATGAATAGGTAACAGAGTGTCCATTATATGTTATAGAAAGACAAAGGAGGCATTGGTGTTTCACTTAACGACTGAAACTCACTGATGTGAGATTATAAGGGGTTGTGATTCCTAAATGCAAACGATTCAAATATCTAGTCTGGTTGTTCTAGGAGAATGGAATGATAGATGAAGATGTTATACATAGTATCAAAATCGGATGGTTTAAATGGAGAAGTGCTACTGGTGTTATGTGATAGAAGGATGCATAGAAAAGTGAAAGGTAAGTTCTATGGACCTATTATAAGACCAACAAATGTTATGAAATATAATCATATTCTTCAAAAGGTGCAAGTAGCACACATTGAGGATAAAATGAAAGAAGGTCGCTTGAGATGGTTTGGTCATGTCATGTGTCGACCTCCAGATGCATTGGTCCATAGGTGTGATACTGTGATGAGTGAAGGTATTAAAAGGGATGAAGTAGGCCTAGAATTACATAGAAGGAAGTCGTCTCTAAAAACCTATTATCTAGGCACAATGGAAGAAAAAGATCTATGTAGGCAATGCCAATTGGTTATGAATGTGTTTTTGTCATGTAAGTTTGTTTACTTTAGATTCTGTGCATTCTAGGAGTTTTTTAGCCTAATACAGATTTTTATGCCAGTAAAAGATATATAGAACTTCTAGTACTTTTTATTTTTATTTTGTATAATGCTGGCCTGAGATGAATTTGAATTGGAGAAACATGGCCAGTGAGGATAGCCAACCCCAACTTGTTTGGACTGCGATGTAGTTCTTGTAGTTTTTACTCAGCATGTGAAATGTCTATAAACATTTTGTGCGTAGATCATTCATATTGCCTAATAAATGATCAGAAAAATCTAGGACATTTATGTTCTTGCTGATAAAAGATTTTTATACTATATTTTCCTGTTGAAATATTTCAGTCAAGTCTATAGTTGGTTCTTTTACTTGAGTTTTACTCATAGAAACTATTATATTCGAAGCAAGATTCATCTAATTAGTAATTACACGTACTCATAATGAGAGAGTGAAAAATTGAGTCTGAACTATGTGCCATGTTGATAATTAACGAATACATCAATAAATAGAAAAAACTGTGTACCCATTTGGCAGGTTACTTTAATCTTTCTTTGTTTTATAAGCTTGTTGCAAAGTAATGCTGCTCTTTCTTCAGGACTTCTTGCACATTACAGGAGTCTTGTTGAACAGGGAAAGCTGCAGCATGATCCTTACCAAGAAAAAGTTGCTACTGAACTAGAAAATCTTCTTGGAAGGTTGGAGCAATATGAAAAGGATATGGGGGAATATCATGTGAGAGTTTTATATTGTGATGATGAACTTTTATTGAAGTAATCTATTCAATGTTGTTCCGAAGACTTTATTTTTAATTTCCATGCTTTTAGGCAAAACTTGCACAATGGGAAGATAATAGGGAAAGTCGGAGGCGTAAGCTTCTTATGGAGGAAGCTGAGGCCAAACAACATGGTGCATTTAAACCAATAAACAAATCTCGCAATATTTTCCAAAGATGGATGTCTCGGTGAGTGTACATTTTTCGACATTCTTATGAAAATGCTTTCTGTGCAACAGTTTTTGTTGGTCAGAGTTTCTTTACTTCAAATAAATATGTTTGTTTTTTTCTAAACAAAGTGAGAGACATTGTTTTGGTTCTCAAAGAGATCAGGAATTGAAGGGATAGGGTGGTCTTACCTTCTTGATACTTTGAATGTGTTGATTGTTTTGGTTTATCACATTCTCTTTTCTCAAGAAGAGATATCACTGACATTAGTATAAAGTATAAATTCAGTTGCTTCTTCTTCACCGCCAGTAATTTAATTGTCATTTTCTTTTTGGCTCAGGAAACCTGAAGATGTGGAAGAAGGAGTCGGGAAATGGGTTTCCTATCTCAATCGTGAGAAGAAGTTAGACTCACAAGTCGGTCGACGTCCTGCTGCTCCTCCAGCCCCAAAGGACTATATCTATATGGCAATGTTGGGAGTGGTACAATTGCTTCTTGTCTGTTTATGTTGCATGGTTGTTCAAACATGCTGTACAAATTCATCTCATCCTTATTTTCTATGATGATGAAAATTTTCTTTTATTAGCTTCTATTAACGATCAGTATCAGCCATGCTTCACTCACAGACATAAACAAAATCTGACTATATATTGGACTTCATGTAGGGAAGACAATGCTTATGGATATGTTTTATAAGGCCAGTGAAGGAATTGTTAAACATCGAAGAAGGTTTCACTTTCACGAGGTGAGTGCTTGTTTGGGCCTTATATTTTAACTTGATTTATAACATTCTACACATCAATCAATCAATCAATTAATCAAACTAGTTGGGGTCAGCTATAAGCCCTATATATCCTTTCCACGCTCTTAGGACCCATTTCATTCCAATACTAGTCAGGTTCTACATATGCATGACAAAAATCATCTCGATTTCCTGAAACAATTTAGTCTGTCTTATCCTGAATTGCACTTCCTCACAATTGTGCTTAAAAGCAAAATGTCACAGGTCAAACATGACAATTTGCAATGCGAGACTGTCTGCCCAAAAACCACAACTCCACAAGTAGATGACATGTGGTATCCGATATTATTTTAGCATGTAGAGAGATAACTGGTTGACCGACATAAATTTGATACGGAAAGAAAATAACAGGTAGTTGTCTGAAGCTGATAACAGGTAGTAGCTTAATAGGAAAATCTCCTAGATCTTTTTATGAAATGGTGCAATAATAATCAGCAATCAAAATACATTTGTCTACGAAGGATAAATGAGTAAGAATTCCATGTTATATGAGGCAAAGCATATTGGAGTTGATGCGCAAAATGTTAAAACCCTCTTGGCACCTGAATGGGCTACTGGGTTTGTTTATATCTTCTGTTCCTATTCCACCATTTTTCTTCTGTAGTGAAGTTATCTTAATAGTCGTGAAAAATATTGCTTTTGTCAGTCTTTGTTGCTGGCACGAGGTGGGTCTGGCGTACAAACAAATTTGCTAACACTAGTATGGGTCCTGAAGAAAAGAATCGTCTGGCCTAATATCTGATTATTCTCGAGTAGTTTGTCAAGTTCTCTTTTTTTTCCCTAGAAACATAAGGATTGAAATCTGTATAACATGTTTGAACTTTGAAATATGTCTATTAAATGACCAAAGCATTATCTGTAGGTTTTTCTATACTATAATGTTAATCTGCCTATGTCATGCATTTCAATACTTGAAATGGTCAAACAATCCTATCAATCTGCTCTGTGGTCACAATATTTGTCATCTGCTCTCTTCTGATTTATTCCAGATGTTACAATTGGCAGGCTATGCTTAAAATTAATGAACATATGCATAAAATTTGGAAGAGTCAGATGGAACAAAAGTCTCTGCAGTCAAGTATTTCTGGTTGGGTCATGAATCTTCCTTTTGATTCAAAAGTTAAAGAATGGATAGCTGCTGAAGAAAGATATAAGCAAGAGGTGCAGATGAAAAACATTCTTCTGGACGTAGCTGACAAGTTTCTTGTTAACCAGGCAGATCGTAGGAGAGGTGCTAGCATCCTTTGCTTTGATGAAGTACAGGTAAATACAGTTAGACTTTTTTTACAGGAACTTTTCTAACCATACCACCACACAGTATATTGTTACTGAACTTAAGTACGAGAAGTGGACTAGGTTTTGCCAACTTCACGTCTTCAGGACCTGGCTTTATGAATTCATCAGACACAGTGGATCCAAAGAAAATGATTAGAAATTATCTACTGTTAATTCAGCTTCAGTATTATATATTGCCTCATTCAATCTGTTTAATTTTATTGTTATAAGTACACCATCCAGTATATGTGGAAGTCTGCTATTATTTGCTCGAGTTGTCTCCGTCTTCTCTCTATTTGTGTTGTGGAATTACAACTCTCAAAAACTTGTAGCAACCTGTTTATGCTGGGGTATGTTATGAAGTGAATCTGACTGAAGATTGCCTCTTTTTTTCTGGTGACAGACAGTTGATGTTTTTGCAATTGTGGCATTATCTGGAATTCTCAGCAGGTTGTTGAGTACTGGAACTGTTCTGGTGGCAACCAGTAATCGTGCACCAACGGACTTAAACCAGGTGCATTTACTTCTGGAAAATCAATGCATTATTCTTTTTCATTCTTAAAGAGTATTCCATTTGCATTTTCCATACTCAACTGGCTTGATTTTTGTTGCAAGTTTAGATTTGGAAGATGAATAAAATGGAAATCTCTGATTTAATGTGCTTGAAACATTGTTACGTTTGTCTGTGACATTTTTTTTTTCTGATCAAGTATTTATTGTGACATTTCTTTGTTATTCAGGATGGCATGCAAAAGGAGATCTTTCAAAAGCTACTAAAAAAACTTGAGGAGCATTGTGAAACTGTTCTAATTGGCAGTGAAGTTGATTATCGCCGCCTCATTGCTCAGAGATCTATAGACCAGGCAAGATTTTAAGGAAATTTTACTTGTTTCTATTCACTGATAAACTATCTCAATATGTGCTCATATACACACCTTGTCTCCTCACTCCTGTATAATGTGATAGTTAAATCCCATTGTAAGCAGTAAAAGCAGGCCTCTCTCCTGTGGTTAAGAAGCTACATCTCTCCAAGGGTGGGGGAAATAGGACTTTTGAGAAGAAACATGGACAGGCTTAGTGTAACCAATGCCAAATCTAGTAAAAGAAGGCCGAACGATTTAGATAGATCTAATATAACTTTGAATGTTACGAATTACTTGGAGAGACTAATATTTTACTGATTATGTGATTGGTCCTCACACTGACACTGAATTTGAAACAACATTAAGTGCAACCTGATTATCACATACGAGTTCCGTCTGAGTGGTATCTCAAAACATCATTTCTTTCAATAGTTGTTTAATCCATGTAAGTTTACAAGTTGCAATTGTCATGGCTCAAAATTCAGCTTCACAACCACTCTTTGTTTCTTGTTCGTCCAGAATACTAAATTGCCTCCAACTAGCTAATAAAGAGGAAAGGGGACAGAGGGTCTCTTTGTCTGATCCCTCTATGAGCATTAAAAAGCCCTTCAGGTGCTCCATTAATAAGAGCAGAAAATTTAACAGCAGAGATACAAAATTTCACCCACTTTCTCCACTTCTCCCAAAAACCCATCTGCCTTGAGGTTCTGAGAAGAAACTCCCAATTGACATGGTCATATGCATTCTCAATGTAGATTTACACAAAATGCCAGGCTTATTCTGAGATAATCTCGATTCTTCTGCTTCATTATCTACCTTTACTATTCACTTTATGTCTCTTTGTCATGTTTCTCAAGATGATTTTACTTTGTTAACTTTCATCATTTTTTGAGCATTGTTATGGTAATGGAAATGAACTATGTAGTAATTGGTACAAAAGGTCATAGCTTATATCCATTGCTTGACTGTCAGTCTAATTTCTAATGTGATTATCTCTATCGTAGTTCTTAAGAAATATCGGTTGCATGTTATTTATGCTTGAGGATCTTAAGATACATTTTATTTTGATTGATTGTTCCCATTATGCAAATGCAGGTCCACTACATTTGGCCTCTAAATAGCAACATTAAACAAGAATTTGAGGATATCTGGAATAAAATTAGTAAACAGGCCGGAGGAAGCATCATTTCACATACTATTCCTGTGATGTTTGGAAGGTATTTTTAATTAATCCTTGATATTTTTTAAGTCAGAAAGAGCCCTTTTATCTGTCATATGATAGTCCTTTGCTTTCTATCAGAACATTGGAAGTTCCTGAGAGCTGCAATGGGGTGGCACGGTTCAACTTTGAATATCTGTGTGGTCGGCCGGTACTATGCTCTTGTCAGTCAGAATTTTCCTTTTCTTTTCTCTGTATGACTTACATATAGTGGAGAAAAAAGATCTGTTAATGAGAAACTTATTCTTATCTATTTGTTTGTGCTTTTGCCACTTGTCATCATGGTCAGTACATGCTTATTTGTATCAGTCAGATGTAAGCACTTGTCAATTCATGTCATTTATTTGAGTACCTAAATAGCATTTTGTTTGCTACTTGATATGACAATCTGTTGTGTAAGAAGGAGTGGGCACGGTAGCCCATTTTTAAAAGATCATTTATGAATCAAAATGTTCTTGTAATTTCTACTTATATAATGTAATGAACTTCTAATTATATTGTAACTTAAGCCTAGCCTGTGGTGATATGAAATGTGATTAATAATTATAATCGTGTGACTAAAGGTATTCTTGAAATTCAATGAAAATTGTTTCAGCCCTAACATTTACATTCCCTCAAAAGCTCCAGATATTATAATATAGAAAATTTTCAATTCCCTTTTTCTTTAACTGCATTCAAAATTTATCTTAAAATAAGATAGTAATTTGACTAATGAATGAACTGAAAATACACAAGAGCCAGCTTAGGCTTCTCTCAGCTCGGTTTGATGCATGGACCCATAGATAAGCAAGCACCATACTGTGAGAATGATCTGATGCATATGTCAAAAATAAATACCATGACCTGGAGAAAATTAAGAGAATAGGTACAGAAGAAGCCGGATTTTAATCAAATTAGATGCTGTTACAAAAAAATAAAGGATGAGATGAACTATCTGTACTGCTGTACTTGATGTTGCCGACTGTAGAACTTGTCATTTCATTTCTCGAGACTTTTGGCATGTCTTTTTTCAGGTATTAGGTTGATAGTCTTGTTGCTATTTCTGGTTTGGATAGTACTTGCTTAACCTCTAATTATGTCTATAGTTGGCTAGTTGGAATTCTGACAGTTTGGTTTCATATGCTCTGATGGTCTTCGTGTAGTTCCATTCAAACTGAAGTTCACCAAAGCTAGAACTATAGAGAAAACAAAAAGAGGCGCAATAAATAGAAGTTCAGTGATGTCTTAGCTCAAATGTAATTTAAATTAAGATGAAGTATGAGAGTACTCAGCTTGAACTTTAATTTGTATTTCATATTGCAGTGTTCGCAGTTTTTTCACCTGATCGTCGATCTAATAGGAACAAGAACAAGACTGTATCTTTAACTTTGACCTCACACAGAATGCTGTCTTATTTAATCTAATTGTGGACATTTCAGCTTGGAGCAGCAGACTACATTGCAGTGGCTAAAAACTATCACACTGTTTTCATTTCTGATATTCCTATTATGAGCATGCGTATCCGTGACAAGGTACCATCATCAACATTCCTTACTACATATGCTAACTGATATAAAACAAATTAAGCTTTGACTTACAGATTCTGCTGCTTGTATGTTGATAGCCTGCTAATATTACTAATACTAGCACAAAGGACTGCTATCACTAAGTAGTTCCACTGTATCTTTAAACTAAGCCATAAGATCTTGCCTCCGTATTTACTGGATATGTGGATTTCTTGTTTTCAGGGTTCATATTGAAGGGAAAATAATTGCTTTTGGCCTTGACATGTCTGAGATGTTTCTTGTTTTTTCAAATTCAATCAATTTGTTTTGACTTTTTGAGGCATGGTTTCCGTGCTGTTTAACAGTCTTATTCAGCCTTCTGTAGATTGGATTCATCTCTTCCCATTTATCCCTTTAGTAGCTCCTTTTTGTTTTCATTGTTGAAAGATGCATACATAACGTTGTACACTTTGTGTCTCAGAATTCAGCTTGGAATTTGGATTTAATTATGTTAAATAGCTTACTCAATCCTGTCTTGTTAACACCGTCTTGATCCCCGTTACACTACTTAGGCTCTAAAGGTTCAAATAGTTAGTCAAATTTTTGGCAGACTAAGTGATTGAGGTGGTCTAAGACTTGTGTTCAAAAGTTCGGATTCCCAACCCGTGCTATACATTGGACAACCACCACACCTAACAAACATCAAGGCAGAACACGAAAAAGAAGAATATGGTCAAGGGTAGGGTGAATGTCATGTTTATTTTGACATTACAAGTATAGCATGAAAAAGGGTGGCTGTGGGGGGCATGATTTTGCTTGAGTTCCCTAGTTGTGTGATACCTTGGTTTGGTCAAGGGTTGGGTGAATATCATGTTTATTTTTCGACATTACAAGTAAAACATGAAAATGGGTGGCTGTGGGGGGGGGGGGGGGGGATGATTTTGCTCGAGTTTCCTAGTTGTGTGATACCTTGGTTCCCTGTATTTTCTTGAAATCTCCCTGTTTCAAAGGATGGAGAGAGGTGGTAGGTCGTGTGGACGATGTAGATGGATAGGGGATTAGTTTAATGCCTGTTAGCTATGGGAATATGTAATGCATTTTACTTCTCTTCTTTGTCTGTTCTGTTCTCAGCATTTGAGATCTATGTTTTACGCCTGTTAACATATTTTAGATTTATATTCATATGCACTACTTTTTAAGATCTTAGTCCTGCTTTCATGCTTCTATGTTATTGCGTTATTTTATATGTTGCTGCTGGTTACAATATTTCTACTTCTCAGGCGCGAAGGTTTATCACCCTCATTGATGAATTATACAATCATCATTGTTGCCTATATTGCTCTGCTGAGACTTCAGTAGAGGATCTATTTCAAGGAACAGCAGAAGGAACACTTTTTGATTTGGAAAGGTAAGTGTGTTATATTGTTGTACACTCTTTAAGTTTTCTGGTCTACTAAGATGGTGTCCAATTTTTTTTTGTTTTGTATACCTTTTTTATGTGTTCTTTTGCATCACTAGATTGAATGGTCGTTCTGTTGCAGTGAGAACTAATATCTCCTAGATAATGTTCATCAAATTGAGAAAAATCTCTCTGAAAGTAAAGATTTATATAATGTGCTTTAGATTGCATGGAAGCTACAACTGTTAAGTATCTCTCCATCTATGAGTTAATTTTCTAGTAACAATCTAGGCTGTTGTGTTACCTGACACACAAGTGTGGATGTACCAACACTAAACACTAAAAACTAAAAAGCAGTTACCTAGGGTAAGTTCCATTACAAGAACAAACTTTGAGATTTAGTAAAAGGAGTGAAATCAATTGATGCCAGTGTGCTATTTGTACAGCTTCCAATTTGAGACAGAGATAGAAGGTACAAAGCTCCGGCGAGATGTTTTAGCTGAAGGCAATGTTAGTTCAGGAGGTGCTCCATCTGGCATTACTACCATGCTATCTGGTCAAGAGGAGATGTTCGCATTTCGACGAGCTGTAAGTGATTTTCATTGTTATGCCTCTGTTTTCTTCGTCTCAGTTTATTTAGCTATGGGCTCACCTCGGGGAAAGGGGATAGGGTTGAACGCTTGACGTTGAGGAAATAGAACTCGAAAAATGTTTTCCACCGTTCGATATTGGAAAAGCTCTCGGGTTTAACAAATATTGAAAATCTCTTAACCCTGAAACTTCCTGGATTTCTCCTTGTGAATTTCGTCTTAGTTGGATTTTCAGCCTTGGGTGCATCATCATTTTACTTAGTCAAAAGGAAAAATAAATAAGTTGATAACTATCACTCGATAGTGTTGGTTGCTTATTGGCATATGGTTTTTTTTTTTCATTTACTACTTTGGCTTTCTTATCGATGCTGAAAGCATTAAAACTGCGATCTGTGGTACTATTATTTCATCTCTTCATTGTCTATAGGGGATTCAAGCTATTATCTGTGTTAATATCAAGGCCTGGTAATTGCTTTATCTTGTCATATCAGTAATTTTTTAGTAGCAAAGAAGGGAAGAGGAAAGTTGGAAAGGAAATGTGGAGGTTGTGAAAGTGCACCTAACAAAGGGTATTGGTATCTTGAAAAATTTCCGCCGCCACTTCACAAGTGAAGGAAGATATTTGAACTTTAGATTACCCAGACCCCTTTGAACAACAAACTAGCTCCCAAATCTTCAAATGCTCCTCCAACCTCTGTTAATACCTCTCGGTCTGAGTAGAGGACTCATCTCAATCTTCTCTGCTATTTTCTATGGATTTCAAACAGAGTAATAATGAAGGTTAGTGTTTTAAAGACAAGATTTAGTGAGAGTCTTGAGAGACCTTTGGGAGAGTCCATTTACCAAGCCTTGTGGTATTAAGAGTAATTCGAACCCCCAAAGTGAATCCAACTAGCTAGCAAGCCTCATGGAAGTCCTCTTCAGCACATGGTTCCACAAGTTATAGGAAAAGGTTTACTCCCTAAGGAAACTCCAAACAAGAAAATGGCAAATTGTGATATTGCCACTTGCAATTGAACCCTATGACTATTATTGTGAGTTGTGACCCTTAGGTTGGTGGCAGCTCCTGTTTGTTTTCAAGCCACAAACAACCTTAAAGACATTTAGAAGGGTGAGGATTAACAGAGCTCTTCGCATAATCACAAAAAGAACAGTATCATGAAGCCATGAACAATAGAAACTTTGACTCAGTTTAAAAACCAGCAACCTGTTACACTTGTCATAGGCATTTTCAAGTTGCAAATAACTCCATTTGACATCTCTTTTAATCTTTTTCTTAGTTTTGCATTCCTCTTTACATTTTAACAGTTTGAAAGAAAAGCTGATACAACAGTCTACCATACCAAATAGAGAGGCCTAAACAGAGTCCAAAAAGTAAGTAAAAGCTTATGATAGATCCGAAGTGAGAAAACGCAGAACTAAACTGGAAGAAAAAAAATTGAACTGATTACACTTTGGTTTGGTTTGGTTTGCGTGGTAACTCACATAAAACAGAATAATTGGAACTGAAGTAGCACAAAAGTCTAAGTAAAACACCAAAGTCAGACCTTTAGACAACTATACTATTCATTGACAGTTTCTGACTTTTGTAATGTATGGTACATCTGTTAATTACTAATGCTTTTCTTCATACACGACGAAGATATTGTGTTGAATGGAACATCCTTTTAATGCAGGTATCGCGCTTGATTGAGATGCAGACACCTTTGTACGTTGAAGCAGTTCAACATCTCCATCCCTATTTTGATTCTTTGCACAATGAGTTTGAAAAATATAGTGCCAATTAAGAGCAATGGCCTATGTAATTAGGTTTATATATAAGATCTTTGTTGACAATTCTTTTCCACCCTTCCAATTGACTTGCTTTTAGTTCTCTTTTGGGACAAGACAGGTTGAATAGTAAATAAAAGGAAGTGAGCGGCGGCACAAGCATAGGGTAGTCTTGTGAGATTTCTCATGCTTAAAAGGGATGTATTAGACAAAATGTCACAACAATCTTGTATCTGATTGCAAAGTTGATTTCTTGGTTAGCTATATCAATAAGAAAGGAAATGTTTTTGATGTTTCGGTAATTAGCCATCCATTCCAACTCCTCCTTCCCTTGCAGTGTGAAGAGAAAAGGAATCAATGACAATTAGAAACCTGAGAGGCCTTCTAAGCTTAGTGCTTCAGTTTGCAGCAATCCCAAAATATGAAGGTAATCTATCAAGGTACGTACTTGGTATGATGATTACATGAGTTGAACTGAAATGAAGCAGTGAGGATTCATATAGCCTGCCCCAACCTATTTGGGACTAAGGCATAGTAGTAGCTGTAATCTATCAAGGTACTTGACTGGTGTCAGTTAAGATTTGAGACAGTGTACATTTCTATCTTCTTATGGGGATGTGTGCTTGCGCGTGTGGCCTATTTGTGTTCTTTGAGATGAACTAAAAGACTTCTCAAGATTTTAGTGGAGGCATCGCTGAACATGAATATGGCTAACTTAATGTTTGAATCAAACTGTATTACCTTATATGATCATGATCAATCCCTTTAGAGTATGCCTATATGTATATAAATTACTCGATACATTACCCGTTTATAGAGATGTAAGATCTTACATGCAAAAGTTAATGAACATGATACTTCTTGTAAGAGAATTTTAGTATGTTCCTTAAGGATTACCTTTATAAGTTCTCATTAACTACAACATAACCACCACTCTAATCCCACAAATAGAGTCTAGAGAGGAGAGAGGGTAGAACGTAATTGCACAGGGAAATTGTGTGACACAGTACTAATTGGTCAATGGCGCTGCACGATACTCTGATTAGTTAATTAGGTAATGGCAGAATCCTCGACCTTCATATCCAGTTGTTAAATGATAAACTACCAGGCGTAAATTAAGACTACATCACTTACAGTGAAGATAGCAGCAAGATGTTTACATCCAACAACACCTTAGATAAACAAGTAAACAAAAGGCAAACACATCCAAACAAATAATGAATTTTAAAGTAAACCATGCTGCTTTTTTTAAAAAAAACTTTCCAACAGATCTAATTAAAGGCCATAGACAACCCCCAACAGCTGAATGCAGTATAGACTGGAATAACTTAAATCGTCAGGAAAGAGAACAGATGTGGAAATAATCAGTTCTGCTGCTCCTCATTGTCCCCGTTTTGCTCTGCTTCTGCAGCCATTAACTCATCAAACTTCTCAGTCTTGCCCAACACTATTTCAATCTGCACCAAGCGAAGATGAATAAATAAAACAAAAAAACCTTAGTTTGATGTTTTTTTAAAAAGACACTACCACAGATTACACAAGGATCACTGTTCGGAGTAGGAATTTTTTTAAAAAGATGGATTACGGTCCACATTCAGCACCCACTAGCTCACATGAATTCAACATTGTTTTAAAGAGTATAAGTGGAAGAAGAACATGAAAGCTGTGAAAGCAGCATATATATAGCCATAACAAAATACTGGCCAGATTCATTTTTCCATCTCTGCTGTTGCCAAAGGAAAATGATTTATTTCATTCTACGGCTTTTCGAAACAGGAATACAACAATGGGCAAAACCACAAGAAAATGCATTTAAAAGGGAATGTATCTTCAACAGGCATGGGAGTGTAAAACTAACTTGCAATCAAGTCTAAGATAACCAAATGGGACTAGACACATTTTGGTGAGCAAGAATGTAAAACATCACTAACCCTACCATCTATTCTACAGCTTTTGTAAAGTTCTGCACAAATCCTAACCCAAACAGAGCAAAATGAGCACACACACATCAACTACCTATTGAACACCTTACTTAACAAAGGTCAATGCTACTATTCTTCAGAAACAATCTTAAGTCCCAAGCTAACATTTACCATAAGACCTCTACAGAATGAGTTCCATTACTCCAAAGCCACCAAAAATGAAGCAGACTAATGCATCAATTGACCGATTCATAATGCTTTTGGAATTTACCTTTGCTTTTGGTATTGGTCGGGCTCCTGGTTCGTCCCTCATGTCCACAGTGAGTGTCTTGATCTCTGCAGCAAGTGACCCTCAAAGTTAGATGACAAGAAAGATAATACAAGGGATGGGAGTGGAGTAGGAGAAGCCTCACTCTTCTCAACAGCAAATCCATTGTTCTTCAGAATTTCAGCAATGGTAACCACTGTCGAAATAGCTGTACACATGTGGAAAAGATTGTTAATCCTTTAGAAACTAAACATCAAGCCAATTCAATTATTAATGAATTTTCAACATAACACAAAAGGATGAGTCCACAAAACAAATGAAAAGAACATCAAACAAAACTGTACTGCCACTCGGTATTTCTTTTACTTAATACAGTTTACCGGCAAGCACAAGGAGCCACTTCAAACATATTATCGAGCACGTTCTGCTTTTTAAGTAAAAGATCCCTGGGGAAGCCACAGGAATAAGGTTGTGATGAATCAGAGTTCATCCCAGATACACTCAACTACTATCTATGTTTGAACACCATGATCATTTTTATGCCAGAAGTTGGTTCAAAATTGTTTCACAAGGATATCACATCCCTGGTAAAGTGTGCACCTCTGTGTATTTTACTCTTCTTATACACAAGAAGCTGCAATAGTAAACAAGACATTCTTGAGATGGCAAACAGCATCACACGTTGCCAAGATTGGAATTCACCAATCATCAAGAAAAAGTCAATTGGGAAAAGGAAGTGATAATGCCTCCATAACCCAAGTTGTAACACAGTATATTCTTGATGTAAAAAGACAGCATAATCACAATTAATGTAGAAGACTCATATGACACTAATTATAAGCAAAGGAAAACCACAAACTAGCACTCAAAATTGAGGGTCGAGAAGATTTACCCATCCCAAGAGCAGAGAGTTCCACTTCATTGTACTGTTGCATGTACCTCTGCAAGAAACATACCAAATATCTCAGGATACTAACTCAGACCAATAGCAACAATTATAGATCCGGTGTAAGGCCAGGAAAAATTAAATATAGATAGTCATATAGCTAACATTTTTCAAGATTTTCTAATGCATCTTATGAGCTCACTTGCATTTGGAAAAAGCTTCAAACTACATATTTTCAAGTCCTGTGGCAACCCTCTAATTGTCACTGTATGGGGTGAAATTCTTCAAATATACATAAAGTACCTTTTGATAAGTAATACTAAATCTCAATTTCAAAAAAAAAGTAATACTGATGAAAAGCCTCAATTGTAGGTTTAGATATTTAATTGGGATCCTACATAGACTCACATCTCTTCCATTGCAATTGCTCTAGATAACTGAACTGCTACAGCAGACAACTAGAACTTGAACCACATTCTTTTATTCTTTTCTTATGCTTCGCAAACGAAAAAATTTATTCATTTTAACTCTCCGTATTACAGGTAGAAATTTTTCTTCAATCACCCAACTCATCAACTAATTATTGTAATAAGATAAGCAATTTTTCTACAATCAAATTAATTCTTATTATAATTAAAAACCCAGGAAAAGAAACTGATAAAAACCCAGGAAACTAGACCTCAGCCAACATAAGCAATCAGACATATCGAATTAACAAAGACCCAGGTTATTGTGCATTAACTAATAGCATTTTGCAGGCCTCCCACTATGAGCAATATCATTTGACAGTGTAAGTAATTGCTTCCACTCCCTCGAAGGTAAAATATCATTCAGCTTTATATATAAAAAAAAAAAAGGAGAGAGAAGCAAATGGCACGCCTATTTGAGATCAGATGACTGAGGAAACAGTATGCAAAATCCAAGTCTTCAATTTTACCTTTTCTCACATAACTCATCAACAAACAACTCAACAACCATAAGCAAATCTCATTTCACATTGCAAACAACCCTAACCAGAGTACATTATCAGGAAGAAAAAAAACAACCCTAACCAGAGTACATTATCAGGAAGAAAAAAAACAACCCTAACCAGAGTATCACATCATCGATCGGCAAGCATAGATGCTTTAACCACAGACCCAATCAGTGGCGGAGCCAGAATTTTTAATAAGGGGGTTCAGAATCTAAAAAAATAGACACACGAAGTAGCCGAAGGGGGTTCAACATCTACTATATATACCTAAAAAAATATTTTAACCATGTATAAACCATATAATTTTCCGTCGAAGGGGGGTCGGATGACCCCCTCATAATAGGGTGGCTTCGCCACTGGACCCAATAACCATTAAATTGAAACAATTACTTCTGAAGCCATATTTTTGCAAATCTAGCTGTTTTCGTAAAAACATCCACAGACAAAACAAGTGTAATCATTTTAAAATTACTATCTCCGTCCAATTACCCAAAACATAACACCTACAACTTCGCCTACGGATACACAGATTACAATGCATGGCTTCAAAACATAGAAAAACAAGTAAGCAAATTTAAATGTATATAATTAAGATAAACTAATTGCTCAACATACAGTAGTAGTGTAAAAGCTCCCTATGATTTCAATGTATATATAATTTAAATGAAAAAATAAAGCACCTTTGATAGGTTAACATAAAAGAAGAGTGATTTCTTAGTGTTAGAAACTTGGATTCTGTTCTTCTTTTGCGTCTCTGAGACACTCATCTTGTTCACTCCCTCTGTGATTCCTTCCATTCTTTTGCTGTTTTCTTCTTCTTCTTCTTCAGGAAAACCCTAATTTGGCAGCCTCCTTTCCCTTTAAAAAGGTTCCGTATAATTTGGGGGAAATTATACTCAGCAACATATAAACCCTCGGGTCAGTACCGGGTCATATCCACGTGGTTTTAAGGGTTAGGTACCTTAAACGACAACGTTTTACGACTCTTTGATCTTTTATTTTTCAAATGTACCCCCTCTTCTTTCGAAAATTATACCTAACACCGTAAATAATTTGAATTAGTCAATAGAGTAAGTTGTTGATTTTTTATTTTTTTTGAGTAATTCTTAATATTAAGTATTTAAAGCAAAAATAAATAAATTTTATAATATTAAATAGCACATAAATGATTTTTTTTTACTAAAGCTTGCACGTTATTTATAAATTGACTTTTTTGTTATTAGATAGTGCGGAGAATATATACAAAATATCAATAATAGTTGGGATTTGTTCAAAATTGAATGTTTTAATTTGTTCATCAACTTTAGCCTTAATACTTATAATTTTTTGTAAATTACTTTTTACTTTTTAAAGATTTTTTTTTTTGTAAGAGAGGAAATATGCCAAAAAAGAATTAATTAAAATAGTTTAGTATTAAAAGGGTAAATTAGTTAAACTATAATTTTATAATATTAAAATAGGTTAAAAAAATTATTACAAAAAAATTAAATAAGAAATGTAACGTAATATTATAAATCAAAGGGGATTGTGAGTGTTATGAAACGAAACTTTGAGGGGAAATTATGAAATTATTCATATATTTTATTGATCTAAAGTTTGATTAATAGCTCGTTGTTAGATTTTTTTAAATTTGGAATCCTCGAAAAATTCTACAACCACTATTATTTAGGTATTCATTGAGTAAGTCTGTTCACATATCACATAGTCATTTCGGTACAAAAAGCTCAACTAAGAAAACGTTGGCAAAGGAAATCAATCTCTGACCTCCTTTATGAATACCACATGTACACCAACTCAGTCATCCTTACGGATCATTAATAGAATTATTACCATATATTTTTATAGTTCTATAATTAAATTTTCAATATATTTTTCTTTATCTTTTCTTCTTCTTCTATCCTACACCATTCCACATCAATTTTTTTTTAATAAGTATATAGTATATTATTTTTCCTGGTGTATGTTTAACAATTTATATGATTTGGTCCTCCCTCGCATGTAGCGTTCACTTGCACGATCCTTAATAATCGTTCGTGGCTGCATATGAAAAATTGACGTCCTCCAAAATAAATAAATTTTCGAGGTATGATAAGTTAACTAGAGACATTAATTTAAAGAGTAATTTAACTATTATATTTTATCACTAATTTTTCTTAAAACTAGAAATAATCAGTGACAAACTTATTAAAAAGAAGGGTAATTTAAAAATAAATAAATAATAGTAGTACATTTTAAAACTATGAAGTATTCATTCATTTTGAATTATAAAAAATGTGAAATTCATTTATATTAAAATTAAAAATAGAGGAAGTATTATTGTATCATGCAGTGTTTACCTGCTTTTACAGCGTCATCATTTACGTTTGAATTCAATTTGTTTAAATGTTAGGCAATTATAAGAAGTTTTTTTTTTTTTTTTTTAGTAATGCCTTATTCACAATTACAGTATTAAACACGTTTCTTTTTTCTTTATTATATTTAGAACTTGCATGTCCCAAGCGTGTGGACAATTAATGAAAAGAATCAATATACTAATATTGACCTACTTGTATATTGTAATATTGGTTTTTATAAATAATGATGATACTATATTCTATAAAGGTGTGTTGCGCATGGGACACGGTTAAACAATTTGCAAATGTATTAGACTGTATATTATATTTGACATGTTACGGTTAAATTTATCTATAATGACGTTGTTTGTTTGGATATATTTAGAGTATAGTATTATTACAAATAATATAATATAAAAAAAAGGTTTCAATTTTTTTTATTATTATATAAAATATTATGATTTACAAGGCATAACAACTTATGTCACTTAATTCCTACATGACTTATGGTGATAGAAGCATAAATCCAATTCATAACGCACAAGGTATGCATTTACAAGATATAACATAGTTCGTACATAATTTATGCTGATAGAGATATAGTTCAATTACAGAAATCACAAAGTTATGCCTTACAAGACATAACTTATTCCACAAAGAACTTATGTCAGGCAAGGTCAGAGATACCTAAACTTATACCAAGCAAATCAGATAACTTATGTTGGATAAAAAAAAAGTTATCTAAACTTATGCATTACAATCTTAGGTAATAGAGAAAAATACTTTAACCCACAAATTTTCATTAAACGGACATAAAAACCAACACTAAAAGCCATCATATTTAACAATAAAAATTTAAAACCACCCAGAATTGATGCCGTGCAAAAACTTAACATACTTTAACTAAAGGCAATAGTTCAGTTGGCACCTTTTTATAATTTGACCAATTATTTCTACTAAAACACAATTCAGAATATTGTTACGTGGGTGTACTTTTTTACTCCATTTGACTATAATTATATATTAATTAAATAATTATGATTAAGTAATAATTATATATATTCAAATACATATAATATATTTATTAAGTCGGTGTAAACACTCAGGGTGCGTTTGGTATGAAGGAAAATGTTTTCCATGAAAACAAGTAGATTTTTGACTTATTTTCTCATGTTTGATTGGTGAGGAGAAAATATTTTCCGGAAAAGATTTTTAGTGTTTGGTTTTTGAATGAAAAATATTTTTGAGAAATATCTTTTATTTTTACTAGAGTAGAAAATATTTTTTGAAAACAAACTTAAATTTTTTTTTGGGGGTGGGTGGGGGGACGATCGAGGGTAGAGGTGAAAAAATAAAAATTTGAAGTTGAAAATATTTTTAAAAAACAAACTTAAAATTTTTTTTGGGATGTTGGGGGGCTGGTCAAGGGTAGGGGTGAAAAAAAATGAAATTTTGAAGTTGATTTAAAAAAAAAAAAAAAACTTGAATTTTTTTTTTTGGGGTGGAGGGCTGACAGGGGGTGTATGGGGGGCTGATAGGGCATGGGTGGGTGGGTGGGGGGTCGAGGGTAGGGGTGAAAAAATGAAATTTTGAAGTTGAAATTATTTTTTAAAAATAAACTTAATTTTTTTTTGGGGGGTGGGGGGCTGGCTGGGTGGGTTGTGGGTGGGAGTCGAGGGTAAGGGTGAAAAAAATGAAATTTTGAAGTTTAAAATATTTTTTTTAAAACAAACTTAGATTTTTTTTTGAGGGGGTGGGGGCTGGTAGGGGGGTGCATGGGTTGGGGGGGGGTCGAGGTAGGGGTGAAAAAAAAGGAATTTTGAAGTTGAAAATATTTTTTAAAAATAAACTTAAAATTTTTTTGGGGATGGAGGGGCTGGTAGGGGAGTGGGTTGGGGGTTGGTAGGGCACTAGGGTGGATCGGTCGGAAGAGAGTTTTGGAAAATGTTTTTCTTAACTTTTGAAGGAAAGTTATTTTTCTTAAATTTGAGGAAAATGAGTTGATTTGGAAAACATTTTCCAAAACTTTTAACCCAATCAAACATGAGAAAATTGAAAAACATTTTCCTTTCATACTAAACACACCCTCAATGTTGATAAAAAAATTTACTTTTTTGTTGGGTACATATTATTATTATTATATACCAATTTTACGTGTATACACGGATAAATTATCACTCTGCCGCCATCTAAACTTTGACGTAAACAACTTTTATTGTGTTTACACAAACTCTCAATAATTATAATAACAAACTTATTTATTAAAATAATATAAATCATTTTTTAATAAAAAAATTACCATAATCTCTCTATCAGTACATTATCATTTCATATAAATTAATATTCCTAGTAGTACATGGAAAATCAAACTCCCTGAATCTCCTCCTCTGTTCATAAATACAAAAGTCGTGTTTGCTTGACCGTAATTTTTAGGTGTGAATTTCAGCTGTTTTCCATATTCAGAATCAAAAGACGATAAATTAATCGAGCCAGAGTCAAACACGGCTCTATGAAATTGATCAGTGCAATATTCTCGCCAAAACGGTAAAATTTATACTGTATCTGTTTTTTCATAATTATAGGCGAATTTTCAGAAGTTGAAATTAATGAGTGTATAGTATATAATATCTTCAGTATTTAACTAGAGGAATTGAAGTTGGTGTAGCTTCACCTATTTCATTAATGGTGGATCTGCGCGTTAATGCTGATTTTGTGATTTGAATTTCAAATTTTCGAAGCGGTTATTGTGTTTTATGTATATGTATTGAAGGAAATATATGTTACAGTTTTCAGGCGAGTAATTTGAGTAATGGAAGCAGAGACGGTAATGAGTAAAGAGGCGGCGGCGGCAGCGGTTATAGCCGGAACTGAAGCAAAATCAGCACCAGTGAAGGCAAAAATGAATGAAGTGGAATTGGTGAAATGCGAGTGCTGTGGATTGACGGAGGATTGCACGGCGGCGTATATAGGGAGGGTTAAGGAGAGGAACGAAGGGCGATGGATTTGTGGACTGTGTGCGGAGGCAGTGAAGGATGAAATCATGAGGTCATCGGAGAGGCGAATTGGGAGAGAGGAAGCTCTGAATCGTCATATGAATTTCTGTAGCAAGTTCAGAGCTCTAACGCCGCCACCAAATCCGAAGGACGAGTTGATATCGGCGGTGAAGCAGCTGATGTTCAAGAAGCTTGGATTCGCCGAGATCAAGTCCGGTGAGAAGGCGCCAAGGTCTAGTTCGATCTCAGAGTTGTTTTTCAATTGATAGTTGAATAGGAGCAACCGTGGCAATGCGTATTCCAATAAACGTATATTTATATTGTCGCAGTTAAAAAACTCGTAGTCAAACGTTCACAATTCAAACTACTTTAAGAGTTCAGATTTCAGTGAAAAATGAAAATGAATGAATTTTGCATTAGATGGTGATTTTGAAAGATATTACTAAGGCAAATCAGTACCGAAGCTAATAGCATTAGACTAGAGTAGATTTTGGTATCTAATCTGGGGTGTGTGCATCTTTTACACATGTTAAAGCATACCAATTTCAGAAATTAAATTGGTTAATGCATGTGGATATTTAATTTTGATGCTGTTTTAATTTGTGTATGTCTTTTAATTACTTTTGTTTACATATATTTGTCTTGGATAACTTTAGACATAATATATCTGAAATTAATCTTGATAAAGTTTAACTTCAAACACAATGTTTGAGATTTCATTTGTCTCAACTTTAGCTATATGTAGTTGGAATTCAATGTTTAAGAATATTTTTACTGATATAATAGAATTATATAATTCTCGTTCCTTCTTTTGAAATACCATAGTTCTCATTCCCCCACAACCTCACATCTTATAGTAAGTACCGGTGAGAAGGAAAGAGAGCTCCTGCCATTATCCAAACAGTTCACTGCGATATAGTAGGTAGGAAGCTAAACACAGTGAAGAGTGCTCAATTGAACACCTTCGTTAAAAAAATTATACTATATATATAAGAAAATACATAAAGTATATATGTCACAAATTACTTTTCATATATATATATATATATAACGTTATCTCTGTAAAATTGCCTAAATGATGATAAAATATCTCAAACCATTTTTAACAAGTTGAGGTGTAATGAAAATTCTTTTAAAATGTACAAGAGGAAAATATGCCTTAAGCCTAATGAAAGTAACATATATTTATATTAGCAAAGTAACATTCAACAAATTTGTCGCTTTGGCCGAGTGGTTAAGGCGTGTGCCTGCTAAGTACATGGGGTTTCCCCGCGAGAGTTCGAATCTCTCAGGCGACGCTTTGTTTTTTTTTTTTCTATTAATAAATTGTTGAATCTATCAAATTTCTGTAAATATGATTTGAACCTCTGAAACTTGATTAATAACAATTTATTTTTTGATTAGCCAACAATTACGTGTCCTTTTTTTGTTTTCCCTATTAACAACCTTTTGTGTTTTCGAATCTATCAAATTTCTGTAAGTAGGATTTGAACCTATGAAACTTGATTAACAACAATTTCTTTTTTGATTCGCCAACAATTACGTGTCCTTTTTTTATTTTTTCTATTAAAAACTTTTTGTGTTTTCGAATCTTTTTATTCCGAATTAAAGAAGGTTGAATGATGAATCTATCAAATTTCTGTAAGTAGGATTTGAACCTACAAAACTTGATTAACAACAATTTATTTTATGTATCTTTTGCATCCTTCACTTGCCCCGCCACTAATAAAAGTAACCTAGCCCCCTATGTTGGAAAATTAAATCATATTGCTGAAATCTTTTAAGTTTCCTTCCAACAAGGGATATAATATTTTATAAATTCCGGCTAGGGTTTTTCCATTTCTTTTGTCAAAGGGGTTTCCCTTTCCCATTCAAAAAGTGAGGGTATTGTTTTCTAATTACCCCAAAATTAAAAAGATTAAAGGGGATAATGTGTACATAATTCAAATTCTACACCAAACGTCCATAACTAACTTAATATTATTTTCCCGCCATTCTAAATATTTCACAAAGCCTAGACCTCTGGACAAAAAATAAAAAATATATTCATCTTAAACAAACACCATTACTATCTAACTTCCTAGTGAATGGGTAGTATCTATCGTTCCTTTATTTCCTCTCTTCTACTAATCCAAATTAATGATAACATACTTTATTTTCACAATCATCATTTTTGATGCTTAATTATTCATTTGTTAAATCATGAACAACAAGATTTATATATTGAATGCATTTAGAACCTTGGTTATAGCATGGTTCATTATATTTGAAGGTGTACATGGAGATTTTAATTATCAAGATGCTCTTACCAAATCCCTTATTTTTTTGGAGGCACAAAGATCAGGAAAACTTCCTCCTAAACATAGACCTTCATGGAGAGGAGATTCTGCCCTTCAAGATGGAAAATCTGCTAATGTATGTAGCCTCTCTTTAACACATGTGTTGTTCGTGTATCACATGATAATTTAAAGAATTATGTCAACAATTTCCATGTTTGTAGTTTGAAACCTAGATAATCCTCAAAAAATAATTCTTTTGAAATGTTTTATTCCAATCAACGGCCTCTTACTAGGTTGGAGATATAATAAAACGGAAAGTGTGTCACATGAATAGGGACACAGGGAGTAACAATTTCTGTGAATTAGCTATAGATAAAGAAAAAACATGTAAATTTTTGTACTGAAATTGTGTACTGCATTATATCTTTTTTGCTTTTATATATAGGTGGACCTTGTAGGAGGATACTATGATGCTGGAGATAATGTGAAATATGGGCTTCCAATGGCTTTCACTGTAACAACCTTAGCATGGGCTGCTATTGCTTATCACTCACAGCTCCAATCTGCTGGAGAATTGGAAAATGTTCGCTCTGCCATCAAATGGGGCACTGATTATTTCTTAAAAGCCAGTGTCAAGCGCAATTGCCTCTACGTTCAGGTAATTAAGGGTGTGTTTGGTATGAAGGAAAACATTTTTCAATTTTCTCATGTTTGGTTGGGCTAAATGTTTTCCAAATCAACTCATTTTCCTCGAATTTAAGGAAAATGACTTTCCTTCTAAACTTAAGGAAAACATTTTCCAAAACTCTCTTCCAACTTCAAATTACAATTATTTTTTTGTTGAAAAAATTAATTTATTTTGTCCCTACCCTCAAACCATCCCCCAACCAACCCCCCCCCCCCCCCCCCCCCCAAAAAAAAAATTTTAAAGCTTGCTTTTAAATTCAATTTTTTTACCCCACCCTCACCCCTACCCCCACCCCCTCCAAAAAAAATATTAAAAATTATTTTTAAAAGATATTTCTAATTTTAATTTTTTATTTTTTTACCCCCCACCCGCTACCCTCGCCCCCCCCCCCCTCCCACATCAACCCCTCTATCAGCCCCCAACCCCCTTCAAAAAGAAAAAAATTTAAGTCTGTTTTTAAAAATTATTCTCAACTTCAAAATTTCATTTTTTTCATCCTACCCTTGACCCCCCCACCCACCCACCTCCTACCCAGCCCCCACCCACCCACCCACCCACCCACCCACCCCCACCAGCCCCCCCCACACAAAAATTTAAGTTTTTTTTTAAAAAATATTTTTAGTTTCAAAATTTCATTTTTTCACCCCTAGAACCCCCACCCCCCTCCCAAAAAAAAAATAAAAAATTTCACGTTTGTTTTTAAAAAATATTTTCAATTTCAAAATTTCATTTTTTCACCCCTACCCTCGACCCCCACCCACCCACCCCCCTACCAGCCCCCCCCAAAAAAAAATAATTTTAAGTTTGTTTTTCAAAAATACTTTCAACTTCAAAATTTCAATTTTTCACCCTTACCCTCGACCCCCCCTTCACCCACTCCCTACCACCCCCCACCCCCCAAAAAAAAATTAAGTTTGTTTTTAAAAACTATTTTCAATTTCAAAAATTATTTTCTACTCTAGTAAAAATAAAAGATATTTCTCAAAAATATTTTTCATTCATAAATAAAACACTAAAAATTTTTTTCGGAAAATATTTTCTACTCACCAACCAAACATGAGAAAATAAGTCAAAAATCAACTTTTTTTCCATTTTCCATGGAAAACATTTTCCTTCATACCAAACACACCCTAAATTAGTCTCTACTCAGTGTACAAAGCATCCCGTGTTCACACATGTCAAGGAGTGTGATATAGACAAGTGACAACCTATCCTGACACAACCTTATAGGTCATAATTTCTCTAGATATATGTAGTTATTGAATGTTCAAGATTAAAATTGTGCACTGTTTTTTTTAAGGTTGGAGATCCAGTGAAAGATCATGAATGTTGGACAAGGCCAGAGAACATGAAAACGCCGAGAACTGTGCTAATGATAGACCAGAAAAATCCTGGAACAGAGATTGCTGCTGAGACTTCTGCAGCAATGGCTGCTGCTTCTATTGTATTTCGTGGAACTGATCGTTCCTATTCCCGTAAACTTCTCAATAAAGCCAAACAGGTACTAATCCCATCCTCATTGTTTGATCTTTATTCCACTTGGCCAAACTCCTAAATAGTGTTTTCTTGGTTTGTGACTCAGCTTTTTCAGTTTGGCAAAACCCATAAAGGAACCTATGATGGGGAATGTCCTTTCTATTGCTCCTTTTCTGGCTATCATGTAACATGCCTATTCCTTTATTACAGTTTGATTTCTCAGATAGTCATTCAGCAAATAGTTATTATCTCATAAAGTCACTTTCTTTGTTGAAAAAAATTGGAATCAAGAAGGGTGACTTTCTAATAACTATTAGTCGAGTGAGCAGATGAGAAATCAACTCCCTTAATTATGTTCTTTTTAGATGGTTAATTAGTTGCATATGAAAGTTAACTTCTAAAATGTGTAAAATGTAGGATGAGTTGTTGTGGGCTGCAACATGGTTGTATAGAGCAACCAAGAGGCCAACATACTTGGAATTCATCACAGAAGAGGCCACTACTGCAACTGTAGCCGAATTTAGCTGGGACCTTAAATATGCAGGAGCTCAAATACTCCTATCTAAGGTAATAATTAAAAATCCTTTCTTTGAATAGACGCGGAGTGGCACACTTTGTGGTCGAAAAAATGTTAATGTTTCATCCACATAATGCAGTTCTATTTTGAAGGGGAGAAAGATTTAGCGAACTTTAAGCAACAAGCTGATGGTTTTATTTGCTCCAACCATCCTCAAAGTCCCCATCACCAGGTTCACATGTCTCCAGGTAAGTTTTCGTTTCTACATATAAACTCGATCCATATATTTTATCTATTTATCTGGTTTAACAAGTACATGAGCTACCAATGTCTAATTTATGATCAGGGGGTCTGATTCACCTTAGAGATGGAGCCAATTCTCAATATGTTACTGGTGCAGCTTTTCTGTTTAGTGCTTATAGTGATTATCTAGCAATGTACAAGCAAACGGTCAGCTGTGGTGATAAAAAGTTCAATTCTGCTGATCTCATGGACTTCGCCAAGCAACAGGTAGTGAATTTGTTCATATTAGTAGCACTTTTCTGATGCATCTCACAATTTACTTAGCTGTTTCAATCAAAAAATGCAGATAGACTATCTGCTTGGGAAAAACCCGAGAGGAAAATCATACATGGTTGGTTTTGGGAACAAACCTCCAACTCAAGCTCATCATAGAGGTGCCTCTGTTCCACAAATGTCTCCAAACAAATTGGTGGACTGCTCTATGAGTTTTGTTAACTGGTACAATACTGAAAAACCCAATGCTAATGAGCTAACAGGTGCTATTGTTGGTGGTCCTGATAAAAACGATAACTTTGAAGATCGTCGCTCAAGTTCATCCATGACTGAGCCAACAACATATACAAATTCTTTGGCTGTTGGTGTCCTTGCAAAGCTCACGAAGCACCATTCCTCGTCTTGATCACCTAAGTAGATTTTCATTATGGTGAAGATTTACGAGGGTGTATAAGTTATTTTTTCAGATGAATTGAGAGTCTATATAATGTCTTTGTAGGTCCTATATAGTGACAGGCTGGGTAGCTGGCTGCAAGGAATCGAGCAAATAAGCTCGAGTTTGTCTCTCTTTTCTACGGATTAATGTGTTTAACTTAGAATAGGTTTCTTTTGATGGTCCAGATCTGCAATATTGATTAGTACAAAAGATTAAAGTGTGCACCCAAGAAGTGTGGTGGTTTTACATATGAATGTTGTGTATAAATATGCAGACAGTATTTTGTATAAAAGTCTTTCCAATTATGAGTTAGTTTCTAACTGTGGGCTGCACTTTTCGTATGAAATCTAACAACACATGCATGTCTATGGCAATCATTTTCCATTTTCTTTCGACGAAAGAGCACACAAGAGAAGCTTCAAGCTAGAGTTCGAGCATGACAATAAAATCCTCACGAGTCAAGATAACACTCCCCAAACCAATAGTACTTGACAGGTAAAACATTGTTTCTAAATTGGTGACAAACGAGAGGGAAAAGCACAACAGATGAGTCATATTAATAAAGAAACCATAGATCAATCATAATAACAAACTTAGCTTTGCAAGATATACCAAATCGCCTTTCTTGATCAACTATACAACTTTTCTTTTCATTAAACTAATAAGGGGCTGCACGTGAGATCATCTTTGTCACACGCTGCCTACATACCCAAAAACAAACCCTAAAGAGGGATCAAGCCCATACGCACTTCTTTACAAAAATTACATACTCCCTCCGTTTCACAAAGAATGACCTCCTTTCCTTTTTAGTCAGTTTTAAAAAAATGACCTCTTTCCTTTTTTGGTAACATTTTACTTTTTGCTTTCCACGTGGCATGTTTAAGACCACAAGATTAAGGACAATTTTGTACATTTGACATAACTTTAATTTAGGACCACAAGATTCAAAAGTCTTCTTTAATTTCTTAAACTCCGTGCCAAGTCAAACCAGACCAATCTTTTTAAAACGGAGGGAGTATATTTTTTAAAATTATGGATCTATCTATCTATTTGTTGGATTGGGAAATTGCCTCACGAATTTATGATTGCCGATCTTGAATGTTGTCTTCTGGATTGGTTTGTGCAAAAGGGACATTGAACCACTTTTCTTCTTCCTTGTCTTTGCAGTGTTGGCTGCTTTGGATGAATGCAACAGAAAAGGATGGTTCAAGAGCAGGTCCGCAGTCCAACGCGAACTGGGATTCTTCACAAGACATTTTTCCAGAAATTCTTGAGCCTCATTTGACAACTTCGAATTCTGAAACTTTGGTTCCTCAAACTTGATTTTGTCCAACACATCATCACCATTTGCGTCTTCCCACAGCCATGTCCCCGTAATCAGCTCAGAGACAGTACAGCCAAGAGCCCAAATATCAACCTGTGGGGTATACTCGGTGTTAATCACGGATTCAGGTGCCATATACCTTTCTGTTCCCCTGATAACTCCCTGTTTTTGATTCATGCCCTGTTTCAAGGTCACGGAGAGCCCAAAATCAGCGATCTTGGCAGTTTTTTCCCTGCCTACTAGGAGAATATTGCCAGGCTTGATGTCGCAGTGAATGATTCCATTGTTGTGAATGCAACTGAGCCCTAAAAGAACATTCTTCGTGTGTTTCTTAACTTCAACTTCCGGCAGTGAATTGCAATTCTGAAGACGATCGGCAAGGCTTCCTCCGGAAGCATACTCCAGCAATAAGTTGTAAAGATTGACGTTATTTTCAAAAGACACATTAGCTCCGAAACAGTGAATAATGTAAGGAGAATGTTTGAACATTCGGAGGATTTCAACTTCTTCTTTCAACGATTGAGAAGCATTGAAGTTGCAAGATTTGAGGGCAATGAGAGAGGGAAGAGTAACACCACGAAATAGTGCATTGGAGGTAGAAGCTAACGAGACGACACCGAAACTACCTTGTCCAAGAGTTGTGCCTCTCTTCCACAATAACTCCGCCATTGGATGTGCAATGTGTTGGTAGTATACTATAGTAATGAGAGTAATTTATAGATGATGATATATTTTACCCTATTCCTATTTTGATTTGGATTAAACCTTTCTTTTCCATTCCCTTTCTTATACCAAAATGGAATCTCACCGTTTCTTAACGATGAAAATCCTCACTACGCCAGCAAAAATCAAAATAATTACTTCAATTTGGATCAATTATTTGTCCTATTTTTTTACCTTCTAGTGCAAGTCTCGTACACTTTTAATTCCTACTTGTCCTGAGCACGTGTGTCCCCTGCTAAGTTACGTGGAGTTATTGTAACGGTATATATAAATATATTCAAACACGTGTGTTGCACCATGTGTATCCCCCATGCTAATGAGTACAAATACTTTGGAAATATCATAATAAACACATGATAAGTTGCACAAAAATTGAAGATAAAAATACAAGCTCAAATTGTTGAATGATAAGTTTATTCAACCAATATTATTATCAATACAAGATACCTCGACATACTGAAATATTGTTGTTGAGTGAATTTCAAAAGGAATATTAGAATAAACTTCAATTATGCAATTCTTATAATATATCAAACATTCAACTTTACAAAGTTCCCTTTGTTTAATATATATGACATAACTCATAATTTAAATGTTGAGTGTGATTTCAAAATATTTCTTACCTTTTCATATTTGCACGCATATTAAAAAATTGTTATCGAATGAGAGTAATGTTTTGTAAAAAGTTGTATAGAAATTCGATCAACATATGTCTTTCTTAAGATGACTAGCAGATGATAATTGCCAATTTTGTTGTGCACACCTACACAAAAGTTGTTATTATTAGCCTTAGACATAATAGTTGCAAAAATATTTATTTAATGTATACAAATCATAAGTTTATGTGTGTACCTTTCGTTTTTTTTTTTGTCTGATTCAAAATTATTAGTTGTCATTTGTATATTTGACCAAAAAAATAATTGTTAAATTATATTATGAAATATCATATATAAACAGTAACATATTTTATTTCTCAAAGTTTTCTTCCTCTTATTTCATGTAGCTTAATCTTTTACTGCAAGTCATAGTGATTTGTGTAATTATTGCAATTTTTTTTGCTATTTTGGTGACTTTTTTTTTAACTCTATTAAAAATCCCAATAAGAATGATTTGAAATTGATCTTCTCTTTTGTCCCTTTCTACATGCTTCTTCATATACATTATTGTTAGTAAAAAAAAATTTCTATTTCTGCCACTATTATTTGTAGGTTTTTTCCCGTTATAAGGGAGTCGAATTCAAATACATTAATTAAGCTTCTTATGAAGTGTGTTTCATTCCTCAAAGTTTTCTTCCTCCTATTTCATGAATCTTAATCTTTTACTACAAGTCATAGTGATTCATGTAACTATTGCAATTTCTTTTTGCTATTTTGGTGACTTTTTAATTCTATTAAAAATCTCAGCAAGGATGATTGAAAATTGATCTTCTCTTTTGTCCCTTTCTATAGGCTTCTTCATATACTTTTTGGGAAAAATGCATGTGAGTTGTGCTATATTTGATAGCACACAACAACAACAAATATGTGATAATTAATACGGAACCAATGGTGAAGTTTGTTTAAAGAACCAAACATATTGCTCTTTCGCTTGCCACAGTTAGTATATCATTCTGATTGTTTTATCTTAGGTACAAACATTTTGTATGCCATTGCACTCTTCCTAAAATATAAGTATAGAGACAATTAGTTTAAAATTTTATTTAAGAAAATATTTATAATTTTTTTTTATTTATGATTAAAAAAACTCATGTACAAGTATGTTAGATCCTTCTAGTGAAGTTCATGTTTTTTTTTAGTTCATGGGTATTTTTTATTCTTCTCATACTGGAATTATTTCTTCACTTCTTTGACTCAATAATTTGAGTTTTGGATATCTCCCTTAAAAATCTATTTGCTTATCATTATTTGAGGTTGTTATTCTTATTTCATTTAGTGTGAAAATATAAGAAATAAAAAGAAAGAAGTGTAAATGGGTAAATCTACCGCGCACAACTCTCTAATTGTAGTTACTCGTCCTAGTAACAAAATTATTATGCATTTCCAGTCAACTTGATGAACCCAAAATTCTTAATTCCTTCATAAACAAGGTAGAGACATCGTAAATAGTTTTAGTTTCTTAGAAACTTAACCAAACATGCTATAATGTCAAGTAAACTATGATCAAATAAAATATACCAATTTTTTTCAGGCAGTTGATGAGAGAAAAATTTCAAAAAAGAACATGACTTTATTAATATTCTGTAACAAACCTGATTTCCTCTCAATGAAAGCACCAATGTAACAACTCCAATTGCACAATAGAACATTCAAATATTATATTCGCTAAACTCAAAGTTACAACGGAAAATGGAACTAACAAGGAAATCGCAAAACGATAATGAACTAGTAAAACAAAGAAACTATCGAAGAAGATAACTAGAAGGAAGATGAGAAGCTTAGGCTCAAAGAATGGGGATGAGAAACTTAGATTCTAAAAGAAGAGGAGAGGACAATCATTTTCTTCAATCGACATCATCCCTAAATCAGTAACCGCTGCTCCTTTTGATGGAACCATTCTCACATCCACTACTCGACCCGGATCCCAAATTAACCTGGCCCTATTGCTTGTTCTCGGCCCAATAACTCTTTCCAGCCCAATAACTACTTGTGTGACCTTGGTATTCATATTGGGTTGGACTTGGTTCATAACAATACTCTCGTCCTCAATAAGAACCTTGTCCTCAAGGTTCGAGTAGAGCCACACGGATAATATAATATTGAATCTTCCAAGACTCGAGTGTGTGTAGAGAGCTGCAATAGTGATGCGAAGTTGAAACCAAACACTGTCAACTTGCAGAATTGAGGAAACAATTGCATTGCCTTCAGAGAATTCCATATTACCAAGAATCATAACAGAGGCCACAATTTAAAAAAAAATCATCTGCTCTCTTTTGCCAAGCCAAAAAATTGTCATTCTCTTTTATATTAACAGAGTTTTGCGCAGAGGTAATACATGCTATCTTATAGCAATAAGATTGCCGGAG